GGGCCGCTGTCACGCCGCGGGGCGTGGCGCCTTTCCGGCCAAGCTCTGCCGGGGGGAGAGGCTGGACTTCGGCCACGCTGCCGCTCTGCAGTAGCGCTCGGCCACCAGTGTGCCATTGCTTTAGGGTGTCGTAGGTAATGCCGCGCGGGCTCGCCACGGAAGCGTTTTCATTGCCCTCCTGCAGGTCAAGAAATTGCCCTGGAGGATGAGGTCCGGGAGCTGGGACAGCATCGCTACTGAATAAAAGGGTTTTCGAGATCACTGTCTTGAAGGGCTGAAAATCCCAAACGCCAGCATCCTGTGACCTCGGGGTCTGAGTTCCTAGCTACTAGTTTAAACAAGCGGGGTCTACCAACAACCAGATCACAGCAACCCAGGTCGCCATGGCAGGAGTTTTAAATAATTATTTGTTAAATAATATAATAGTTTATTTTTACATCATTCTGTGCCTTTTTCCATCTCAGTTGTCATCCCCGTGGGCTTCCCGTCACCAAATCACTCGTGTGCCGTCAACACAGTCCAGTGCATTTCCCTCCCCCCACTGTTCTTGATCCCACTAAATGATCATTTTTAATGTATTATTTTTTAGGGGGCCTTCCCTGGTGGCACAATGGGTTAAAGCATGAGTTCGATTCCAGCCAAGGAGCTGACCCCCAAGACGCAGCAGACCTCTCCTGACCCGCCTGCTTCTCCCCTCAGGAGTGTATTCCCTGAATCTGTCTGTTCTGCTCCCCACTCTGTCTCTGGTGATTTCACTCACACCCTGCACCTCTGGCCTGTACCCCAGTACTGTATGTATAAATAACAATTAAATCTTTTAAAAAAAAAAGTATTATTGTTTAATGTTTCTTACTGGTTTGGGCTGAACCAAATATGAGGATTCAGAATTGGGAGTTAGTTGGATAGGGGTTGATTGAATCTTGAAAATTCCAATTGAGTGTTTTGGGGTTTTTAAGTGTAACAACTTTTTTTAAAGATTTATTTTTTATGCATACAGAACAGGGGTACAGTTGGGTGAGAGGATTCACCAGAGACATACTGGGGAGCAGAACAGGCAGATTAGGGAATACACTGCTGAGGGGAGCAGCGGGCGGGTCAGGAGAGGTCAGCTGTGCCATGTGGGTCACTTCCTGACTAGAGATCAAACTCCAACTGAAGCGGCTGTGGCAAGCTTCACAGTGCTGTGCTTTAACCTGTTGTGCCACCAGGGAGGGCCCCCTAAGTAACAATTTTTTTGCGGACATAGTTATAAATACTAATTTTTTCCTTCCTGTTTAATTCCTCCTAGCGAATTATTGGAAAGAACGTGAAAAATGTAAGTAGGGATTTTGAAGAATCAGTTAAAGGAATAAATAAACTTGTTTATTTATAGAAAATGGCAATTAATTTGATGATACCACTTCTAGATGTGTAAAGTTAATTGGCATGTGCCTATCAAATGACAATTTTTGAGGGGTATACACGCAGGGGGAGCCTATTACCACAAACACCTGGAGATGTATTTGTTTATTTCCCCCTAGTCTCCACAAGCCTGAGAACCGGGAGGCAGAAGAAACAAGTTCCTAATACCTGTGATGTGTGCGGGGAGGGGGGGGCTATGTTTCCCTCCCCCATCAATCCTGTCACATCGTTATCCTGGAAACTTAAAAGCAGCAGGAGTTCTTATCCAGCTTTAAAATGTGGAGACTCACTCTTAGGAATGTTAACTAAGCCCCTAAGCCCTGTAGGTGCCAAAAACCTTCAACTTTTCACTGGTGTCTCTTGCTTGTACAGTATCCCTCCAGGTTTGGGGTAAACAGATATTTGAAGTAACGTTTGTGTATGCCTAGTGCTTTTGAGTATTTTGAATCCTTGTGCAACCCACCGTTGCCCATAGCTCTTTTCAACTGAAATGAATTACCAGGTCTTTAAAAATAAATAAATGAAAGGCCTCCACTCCTACAGGGAGATAAGCACTGTAAGTCCTCTTGTGGTCACAGCTCTCACCAAATGTTACGTGTGTTGTGGGGCAGCCTGACATCTCAGAGAATGCAGGGCAAAAGTGGGCAACTTTTGCAACAAATTGCATTACAAGAGCATTTTCTTCCACAGATGATCCATTAAATCTGAAAATGTCACTGGTTTCCTGTGGGAGCAGAACAGGCAGATCTATTGAA